TTGTTTAAAAAAATAAATTCAGTTAATTAACATACAGTGCATTATTAGTCCTGGAGGTAGAGCTGAGTGACTGATTCATCTTACACAACACCCAGTACCGCTAATGTCCATCGCCCAGTTATCCCATTCCCCCCACCCTAAAACTACAGAGTTTTTTTTTTAAGATCTCATTTACTCATTAGAGAGAGCGCAAGCAGGGAGAGAGGCAGAGGGAGAGGGAGCAGCAGACTCCCCGAAAGCAGGGAGCCTGACGGGGGTTCCATCCGGACCCCGAGGTCATGATCTGAGCTAAAGGCAGACGTTTAAACATCTGCGCTCCCTAGGGGCCCCCATGGTTTTCAAAGGAACCCTACTATCTTGGATTACAAGAGACAGAGATTGTTCAAGATGAAAAAGCACCTGTAGGCTTCAAAAGTTCTGTCGGCAGAAAGCATTCTGGTCAAGAACGTGGGGCCTTTCCCAAGGAAGGATGACCCTGGACAGAGCCAAGAACCTAGAGAGCAGAGTCCAGAGCCTCCGAGAGCCACCCCTGGAGGACTAGCACAGGCGGCACCAATGGGCCCTCATCCGGGAAGCATCCCCGCAGGACAGCAGGCTGACTAGCAGCTGCACACCCACTTCGTTTCCGAGTTTCCACTGACCGTGAATGCTACACACTTTCCAACCCGTCCTTTTTTAAATTTTTATTTTTTTATTGTTTTAGAGATTTTATTTATGTATTTGAGAGCGAGAGAGCACTAGAAAGAGAGAACACGCACAAATGGGGATCAGAGGCAGAGGGACGAGCGGACTCCCCTGCTGGGCAGGGAGGCTGACCCCTGGGTCAAAGTCAGCCTGACGTGGGGCTCGATCCCAGGACCCCGAGATCATGATCTGAGCCAGAGGCAGACACTTAACTGACCGAGCCACCCAGGCAGCCCCATCCCTTTTTTCAAATAAACGTTTGAGTTTAGAGTGAATTAAGATTAGCAGAAGAGTTGCAGCTGTAACGCAAAGTCTTCCTGTCAGTCTTCCCTCACCTCCCCCCAAGGGCAGCATGTAGGTCTCTAGGGTACGTCCAGCACAGCCAGGAAGCCGGCTCCTGTGTCACACCTAGCTCCACTCCAGGCTTCATCCAGAGTCACTTTTTTTTAACCGACATTTTCTTTGTTTCAGGAACCAGTTCAAGGGACAACAGTGCATTTAGTCTCCTTACTTCCTGTGGTCTGACAATTTCTGCAATTTCTGTCTTTCCTTCTTCCTCATGACCTTGACAGTTTTGAGGAGTCCTGGTCACTTTTGTGGAATGCCCTTCAGCTGGGATTTGTCTGATAGTCTTTTGTGATTAGCCTGGAGTTTTGGGTTTGGGGAGGAGACCTCAGAAGTGATGTGGCCTTTTTTTTTTTTTTTTTTGAGATTTTATTTATTCCTTTGAGAGAGCGAGCACAAGTAGGGGGAGAGGCAGAGGGAGAGGGAGAAGCAGACTCCCCAAGGAGCAGGGAGCCCTGTTGTGGGACTCGATCCCAGGACCTGGAGATCATGACCTGAGCTTTAGTCAGACACTCAACTTGTGAACCACCCGGGCGCCCCATGATGCGATCTCAGTTCACCACAGCGGACGGACAGACTGTCCACAGGACTTCGAACCGGTGATGTTGATCTTGACACTTGCTTGCGGTGGTGTCTGCCAGGGTTTTCTACTGTAAAGTTACTATTTTTCCTTTCCCATACTCTAGTCTTTGGATGCAAGTCACCAAATCCAGCCCACGCTCAAGGCTTCCCCCATTTTAATAGAAGTGTTGATGGAAGACATTGTGTCCCTGTCTCATTAATGTACATTGTGTGTGTAGACAAAGAGAACTTTTTTTTTTCTTTAGCTCATGGGTCTCTGCACTGAGGACCCACACAGCTGTCTACGTCCAAGGACGGCTACCCGAGCAACATCGTTTGTACCTGGACCTAACTTAGATATAAGACCCTGGACCTGAGGTCTGAGCCGGGGACTGTGAGGAGATACTGGCAGTCCTGGGAGAGGCCCGGGGATGGACTGTGGTGGACTTCCCACATTCATGACCCTATAAAACTCCTGGTTCTCGTGTCCTTGCTAGACCCTTTCCACACTGACTCTGGGCTTGGACGTGTGACTTGCTTGGCCATGGGGCATGAGCACGGATGATGCACGCAGAGGCTTATGGGATTGGAGCCCACTGGGGCAGTTTTCTTGGAAACCAGTAGCAAAACAGTCTCCTGAAAGACGAGACACCACTTGAAAAGAGGCCCTGGAAGATGGGGACCTGCTTGGACATCAGGGCCCAGGCCGAGCCTCCAGCTGATGCGGCCACACGAGCAACACCAGCTTCAGGTGTGACCGGGGATGGCCCCGCTGAGCCCAGCCTGCGCACGAAACCGTGAGCGTCTGCTGCCGTGAGCCTCACATTTCGGGGGGCTGCTGATGTACCACCAGAGAATGAAGCTTTTTGCTCTTTGTCCTCAACTCCTGTTTCCACACTCTGTCCTCCCCGCTCAAGTCCCATAGTCCAAAACTGTAATCATTTCCCCAAACTCCACACTCATACTATATTGTCCTTATTAATTCCCAACCCTTGTTAGACCAAACCACCTCCCTACTCCATACCTACATCCAAGCAGCAAAACATTGCTAGAGAAAAACATAAAAACACACTCACTCATTCTTTAAATTTATGAACACAGGGCCTCTGGGGGACTCAGTTGGTGAAATGTCTGCCTTCGGCTCAGGTCATGATCCCTGAGTCCTAGGACTGAGCCCTGAGTTGGGCTCCCTGCTCAGTGGGGAGCCTGCTTCTCCCTCTCCCTCTGACCCTCCCTCTGCTTGTGCATGCTCTCTCTCTCTCTGTTAAATAAATAAAAATTCTTTAAAAAATTTTTTAAATTTACAACACACATCTAAAAATAGGCTCTGCACACAACCAGAAAATCTTTTTTTTAAGATTTTATTTTTTTAAAGATTTTATTTATGTATTTAACAGAGAGAGAGAGAGATCACAAGTAGGCAGAGAGGCAGGCAGAGAGGGAGGGAGAAGCAGGCTCTCTGCTGAGCGGAGAGCCCAATGTGGGACTCGATCCCAGGACCCTAAGATCATGACCTGAGCAGAGGGCAGAGGCTTAACCCACTGAGCCACCCAGGCGCCCCACAACCAGAAAATCTTAAAACACTTTTTTTTTTACCCAGTTCATCTTCCCTTCTCCAGGAAGACGGTTCCACACCTTGCCTTTTTTCTTCCTTGAAGCTTCCCACCCCACCACCTCCTGAAGCTAATAATCTTTTTTTTTTTTTTTCTTTCGAATCAGGGGCTTGGCTACAAGTGTTAGAAAACCCCAAATAACAATACCTTGCACCATAGAAGTTTTTCTCTTTTGCAAAGAGATGAGCATGAGCTGTCTGGAGTCGGCAGGGGGCTGCAGTCTTCAAGCTCCTCCACTCAGTCTTGCTGCTGTCCTGGACCCCTGCGTTCTACCTCACGGCCCAAGATGGCTGCTTGCGCTCCAGTCATTGTGGGCGCATTCTAGGCCATAGGGGAAAAAAAGGAACTGGCAAAGATCGGCAAACCCCTCCCTTTAAGGACATGTTTGGAAATTTTACGTACTGATTCTTATATCACGCTGGCCAGGAATTAGTCTCAAGACCACACATATCTGTCTGTAATGCAGGCAATGCAGTCTTTCTTCTGTGGGACCATATGCCTAGTTAAACGTGGGGGGGAGGGATTCTTTTTAAGGAACAAGTGGAGGATGGGTAAAGAGATCCTGCTTGCAGTCACAAATTGTTCCCAATCCTCTCCTCTTCTGCCCAGCCAAGAAATTCATTCCTGCATCACACCCTTTACATTGCCGTCCCCATGCCCAGACGCTCTTCCCCAGAGCTCCCCACGACCCCTAGCTCCTTATCAGCTCAAATGCTGGATCCTTGGAAAGGTCTTCCCTGGTCCCCCTAGCTCGGGGGACACCATCCTCCCTCCCCGACCACTTGGGCAGTATTGTTAGCTCTTCAGTGTCCCCCACTGAAGCACGGACCCATCTGAGCGGCCCGGAGCCTGGGGAAAAGGCACACCTTCCTAACCCATTCAAAGCAGACAGCACCCGGGTCTAGCTTAGCCAAAAGCCACTCCCCCAGCTAGCCTAGCCCCACGGCCTGCATCTCCCCTCCTCAACTTCCCCCATGACATTGTCCCTCAACCTGTCCCAAGCCCATGGCTGCCGGGCTCTTCCCCCTCTCCAGCCTGTCCCCTGGTAAAAGCAGGGCACTCTCAGTCTGGGAATAACTTGGCCCTGCCTTTTTTTTTTTTTTTTAAGATTTTATTTATTTGAGAGAGAGATAGAGCGCACGAACGAGGGAAGAGGGGAAGGCTCCATACTGACCTGGGAGCCCAATGTGGGGCTTGAGCTCAGGACCCCAGGATCATGACCTGAGCCAGAGACACCCAACCAATTGGGCCACCCAGGCGCGCTTTGGGCCGTATCTTCTGACTGGCGAGAAGACCCTGCACTTGGGCCGTGAATAGTAATTGCTCCATGGGACTGGCTAAAGCAATTCCAGTGGCTCCCAGACCCTGCCCAAGACAGAAAAGATGTGCGTGCGCCCACCAGCTTTGGCCAGCCTTGGGAGAAGCAGTTGACCAGAGAGGGATTCTGAGCCCTGGTTCCAGGCAGGACCAGATTCCTAGCACGTGACCTGGGCAGTCACATGGGACCCCAAGCTCAGAAGAGACCATACTGGGTTTTGTTCTTTGTTTATTAAGTAAACTCTACCCCCAGTGTGGGGCTTGAACTCACAATCCCGAGATCAAGAGTCACAGGCTCTACCGACTGAGCCCAGGGACGCCCCACACTGTGCTTAATGCTTTAGCGTCTCCTTCTGGAAATTCTTGTTTTTAAAACAGATTTTATTTATTTATTTATGTAAGAGACAGAGTGCATGCAAGAGTGAGCGAGCGAGCACATGTGTGAGTGCAGGACCAGGGTGAGGGGCAGGGGCAGGGGGGCTGGGGGGGGAGCAGGCTCCCCGCTGAGCAGGGAGGCTGATGCTTGGCTCAGTCCCAGTCCCAGGATCACAAGGGGAGCCAAACCCACTGAGCCACACAGGCACCCCCTTCTGGACACTTAATAACTTTTTATCAAGAGGCTCTGTGTTCTCATTTTACTTGGGGCTCTGCCAATTATGCAGCTGGTTCTGGTCCCAGGGACATCATGGACACAAAGCCCAATGACCTGGGTCACCAGCATGGCCCTGAGGAAAGATGTTGGCCAGGATAGCTACGTGGACAGTGCCAGTTGCCCCTCCTCCTGAGTCCCCAGTGGCCCACTGCCCTCTGCTCCAGTAGCGGCTCCCAGGTGGTGGGAATGCCCACTGGACAAGGCAACATGGGGCTGGAGTTCCAGCAGGCCTTGAACCCTGGCCTAGGGCTCTGCAGCAGCGACTCCGGGGACGGTCTAGTCTAAGACGTACCCCCAGGCACAAGGCTGGTCCTGTGGCTGTGCCCCATCCCACTGCTGACTGGACTAGGAAGTGACTCAGACTGACCCAATTCTGACTGCTAGATGCGGCTCATTGGTCCACACTTCCAAGGCCAGAAGGACAGGGAAGGGCTGCTGACCGTGCGACAGGCAGCCTGTCCTGCCCCTGAGGAGTCCAGATGCCTGGAGGGGCTACCAGCCCGGACTCACCCTGCTTCCACCCCCACCCCCAGTCTTCCAACCCAACTCCAAGATTTGCTCCCTGGCAAGCTCCCTGAGGTCCTGAGAGGTGTGCACCAGGGGAGACCCTGGAGCGGGTGTCCCCCACCCTACACCCCCCACGGAGGAAACACTTGTCTGGAAGCAAGAGATGGCTTTACTGAGGAGGAGACTAGCGGTGGGGTGAAGGGGAGAGACTGGCCGGGAAGGGAGAGTGTGGTCTCGGGGTTGCCTGTGGCGTCACACGTCCAGGTAGGACTGAAAGCTCCGTCTCTTATAGGTGCCCGGCTTGCGCTGCAGGATGCCGGGGCTGAACGTGGCCCCCAGCGGCCAGTGGCGGACCACGTGCCGGTACGAAGTGGCCAAGCAGTCAAAGTAGTTAATGTTGAGCTTCCGGGCAATGTGACGGCCCAGGTATTCCATCTGCTGTGGGAACAGGTGGCGGTCAGGAGGAGACCAGTCAGCTCGGGTGCCCCCTCCACCAGCTGCCCTCGCTGAGGCGCCCACAGCGGGGTGTTCGGGCTCCGCCTGAGAAACGGCCCCATCCTAGGCCCCTAAGCAGTGGCAGGCCTCCTGCAGCGCGGAGCAGGGGAGTGGAGTGTGTCTGGGGCCCCAGGGCGGGCTGGAGCCGACCCACCTGGTAACGCTCTGACAGCTGCACCAGCACCAGCGGCTCGAGCTGGTGGCCGCACAGAACCAACTGAAAGAAGCACCTTCCGTAGGCTGGAGAGGGGCGAGCAGCTCAGCCAGGGGCTCCGGGGCCCGCGGGGGCTATGGGGAGCGAGCGCAGAGGGGCTGGGGGCGCAGGGCAGAAGGTCGGCTAGCCCCCCCACGCGCCCCGTCCCCAAGCTGCTTCCTTGCACACCCGCCCCCGCCCGCGGCCGCGCCCGCTTCACCGTCGGAGCTGAGCGCCAGGCGCACGTAGACCAGGTGCATGGGCCCCTGGCACACGGTGCGGCCCTGGATGGAGAAGTGGTACGTGCCGCGCGTGTGGTTCAGCACCAGGCGGCGCCGCGGCAGGGACGAGATCAGGAGCCACAGGCCAACGACCACGCCGCACGCGGGGAAGCCCCACGTCTCCTGCTTCAGCACCTGCGGGAGCCGCGGGGGCCTCAGTCACCAAAGGGCGTGGGGGGGTCCGGAGGGGGTCCAGGGCCGGGAGGCCGGCGGGGGAGGGGTGCGCGGAGCTCACACCTGGCTCACGAGGCCGAAGCTGACGAGGACGAGGCAGGCGACGAAGAGCAGAGCGCCCTTCCACAGCGTGTCCAGGTAGTACTCCAGCACGAAGACTGCGGGCGGGCGGCACGGCGGCGGCGCGTGAGCTGGTCTGGGCCCTGCAGGCCCCGCCCCCGCTCCAATCAGATCCCGGGGCCCGCCCCCGCCCCCCCGCCCCCCCGCCCCCGCCCAAGCAGGACTGTCCAGGCAGGGGTCCGCGCCCCCGCCTGTTCTACTTCACGGTCCGCGCGCACCATTGGGCTGCTGCTGGGTAAACGGGTAGAAGCTGTCGTGCTTAAGGCGCTGGGCCAGGTGGCGCTCGGTGCAGAAGAGTCCCAGCGCCCAGAGCTGGAAGCGCTTGCCCCCGGAGGTCGTGGGCAGGCCGTGGACACGGCCCCTGGGGACCTGGGTTAGGAACAGAGTCAGCTGGGCTGTTGGTAGGTTGCCAGCACCCGGGGCTCGAGGTCGGACTGACCTGGTACAACGAAGGCTCCAGGGCTGCCCTTCAGGAAGGCTTTCAAAAGGCAGAAGAGCGACACCAGCTGAGGCGGTGGCCAGGCTGGGCGCGGCCTGGGTTCTAGAAGTTCTGAACAGCGTGTTCTAGAAGGGGCTGTTGTTGACTACCCCTTCTGCAGGGGGTCCCCAGATCTGGCCCTGAAGTGAGCACGCGCTTCCCTACGAGTCCCCACACCACCCAGCGCCACCCTCCTTGGCCTGGTTTGCAGTCCCCACCCGAAGGGAGGGTGGCAAGACATCCCAGGCCTGAGCTGGAGAGAAAGCTGCAGGCAGGCTCCCCACACTGCACCCCACGGCTGAGCAGGCCTCCCCCATCACCACTTTTGCCCAGGTAGACCACAGACCGCTCACCTCCGTGCGTGTCCCTGAGGGCAGGACACACACTCGGTCCAGGACTCAGGCCCAGGGAGGAGCGAGCGAGGGCTGACCACAGGCAGCCTCAGGAACCCTGGGAGGCCACCCCCACCCTACCCCACAGGCTCTCTGCCAGCTTCAGCCTTAGGTGCTTCTCAGGTACGACACCTGCCCTCTCATCTCCACCGAAGGACCACACAGAGTTCCTAAAATGTTTTATTGTAACAAAACGCTCAATCATCCCAAACACGTAAAGGGTGGAGGGCACCGGTGGCCACCTGAGCTCCTGGGGTCCGGGACTGCCTAGCCGGAGGAGGGGAGGCTGGTGAGCAGCTGCTCGAGGCACCACTGGACTTCCTCCTGGCCTCGGTACGCCCGCTTCAGGCCCCGAGGGAGGCAGCGGCAGGACTCCAGATTGAGGTAGAGGAGGCCTGGGCAGCTGCTGATCACAGAGCTGGAGGGGCAGAGCAGGCCATGGGGACCAGAGCCACTGGTTCCCTGAAGACCCGGGCCCTGGCAGGGATAGGCCAGCATAAGGAGCCCTCTCTGCCCAGGCGCCACGGCTGGCTCTGCCACCCAGAGGCCCCAAGGCCCAAGCCCAGTACCCATGGTGTCCCTAAGGGCCATCCGAAACAGGGGCCAGCCAATATGTGCTCCCCTTTTGACCCTCGAAGCTTGCAAGCCAGGCCTGTTGGGGAGGCAAGCCATACTGACTCCAAGGGACGGGGGAAGGGGATGCTGACCTGACCGTGCTTGGTGTGACCCGGGTGCCCCTGAGGTTGACAGAGCATAAGGCGGGGGGTGAGCCCCCAGGGGTGGCTGAGAAGGCAGCCAAGGCCTGCTCCAAGTCCTTCTCGCTGAAGCCCTGGCCACTCAGGTCCAGCTCCCGCAGACTGTGGTGCCACTTGTGGGTCAGCAGGTGGCTGCCCTCTTTGGCCAGAGTCAGCCGGTCGGACATGCCGTAGAGGCCCAGGTGAAGCTGTTGTAGCTCTGGAGACAAAGGGTGTTCACGAGCTGTGGGACGGGCAGGGGGAGCCACACCCGTCCCACCTGGCCAGCACCCAGAGGAAGCTGACCCTGGCACGGCAGATCACACAGGCCAGCGGGTGTGATGCGGGCACAGCCTCGAAGATCCAGCAGGCGCAGACTCGGGGAGCCATGGAGCAGGCGGCCCAGGGCCTCATCGCTCACAGAGTTGCAGGTGGAGCCGGCAAGGCAGAGCTCCTCGAGGCTGGGGAAGCCGGGGCCGGGAGCCACCACTCGCCCCGCAGGCTTGGGCAGCCACGTCAGGTTCAGCAGCCGCAGCACCTGGAGCGAGGCCCAGGCTGCAGATGGGGAGGGAGGGTGGCAGGCAGGGGAGGCAGGGCATCAGGTGCCAGCAGGTGGGAGAGGCGGGGCGTCAGTACCTGCAGCTGGGGGCAGCCCTTCTGCAGGGCCTCCACTGGCAGCTGGAGCGGAGCACTGTTGCGACTGATGCCAGTGCTCACCTCCAGGACCTGGAGCCGGGGACAACAGCTGCCCTGCAGAGGGGTCACAGAGCGCAGGCTCAGCGGCCTGGCAGTCCCTGGCTCAGCACTGGGCGCTGCTCGTGCCTGCCACCAACCTACCAGCAGAGCACCCAAGATGGCTGTCGTCTGGGAGCTGTAGGTCAGCCACAACTTGCGCATTCGGGGCCCTGCCTCCTCCAGGAAATTCACCACAGCGGTGGACTCCACCTGGGAACCCAGCACATGGGTACCTGTCACTTCGGCCCAGGCTTCTTCAGGACCCCTAGGGACACAGGGCTCACCATGGAATGCTGTATGTCCAGGCTGTGGAGCTGGGAGCAGGCTTTGGCCAGCATGACCATCGTGTCGGGGGTCACGCCATGGCAGTCAGAAAGCTTAAGGAAGGTGAGCCGAGGACAGCACTCGCTAACCAGCTGTGGAAGACAGAGCACCAGCTGAGATTGGGTCTCTGTGGTCCACAAAGGAAAGAAACCAGTGGCTGACGCCACGCCCTCTCTACTGTCTCAGCCGGGACCTCCTTTCTGCCCTGGAAGGCCAGCATGGGTGCTCCCACTTCTGACACCTCCCTGCTGAAAGAGAAAGGCAAGGAGAACCGGGCAGGCATCCCCATGGGGCCACTGGGATCCGGGTGCCTGACCCACTGCCTGGAAGTACTGGGCAATCCCAAAGTGTCAGGGCTGGTGTGCAGGGCAGCCTAGAGCTCTCACCTTCAACACAGGGTGTACCTGGGACTTCCAGTGGATGAGGGTCAGCCTCTGGAGCTGGGAGAACCTGGCCGACAGCAGAGGCAGAGCTGCATAGTGTCCCCACGTTGCCCCTTTGTCAGCATCAGCCCATCCCGTCACTTTGGTGTAGGGGACAGAAACGGGCCTGCGGCTTTCTCCGAGCCACAAAAACGAAGCCAGGGAACAAAGAAAAGAGGGGCTGTCTCACCGACTAGGCATAAGCCACTCCAGAGAGGCAAGAAGCTTCTTCTCGGCCTTGGCTCCGCTCTTGGCCAGGCGACCAGCCAGCGGGGGCGACAGGGTCACGGTGTGCCAGAGCGCAGGCTGGGAGGCGGCCTCGTGCCAGCGGCGGCACACGCGTGCAGCCCTGGGGGGAGAATCTCAGCTGAGGGGCCGGGCCTTTCGTGGCCGTTGCTGCGGGGTTTTCTAAGAGGAGAGGCCTGTCACGACGCTGCGGCCACCTTAGCTCAAAGACAGGCCCGGGGGACTCTCACTGGACCCCCGAGGGACGGTGCTCTCTCGCACGCGTGTGTGAGCGCTCCCTCGGCTACGCGCTCTGCCCGCACCACCCCCCCCGCCCCCCGCCTCCCGCCTCAGCCACCCGCGGGGCGGGCAGGAGGTCCGCCCGAGCCCCGCTGCGGCGCTTGACGGGCCCAGGTACCTGCCGAGGAAAGGCATGGGCCCCTCGGCCGCCACCAGCAGCCCGAAAATCTGCAGCAGGATTTCCAGCGGGATGCGGTCGCCCCAGCCCGGGTCGGGCCCCCGCGGCGGCTCCGGAGCGGGCGCCGCTCTAGGCCTGGCCTTGGCGGCCGGGGCGCGGGCCGCGGCGGGCAGCAGCCGCTGAGTGCGGCGGGACGCACGTCTTTGCGCGCGGGGGCGGGCCGGCCCGGGGCCCGGCAGCAGCAGCAGCATGCTGTCCGACTGCAGCAGGTGGTACCCGGAGCCGCTGGGCACCAGCCGGTCCCACCACCAGTCCTCGGCCGAGCGAGTCCGCGCCCCGGCCGGCCGGGCGCCCCGCACCCTGCGCCGGGCCCGCCGCGCTGCCCCGGGAGCCATCGCCCCCAGCCCCACGCCCGGGCCGCCCGCTGCCGCGGAAGAGTCTAGGCCGCCGGAAGGAGGCGGGGCCGCGGCAGGAGGCGGGGCGTGCCCGCGGAAAGGCGGGACCGGAAGCCAGGGCCACCCCCCCTCCGCGCCCCCTTCCGGGGCGGGACTTCCGGCGGCGGGTCATGCCGGGGACTGGCTGGCCGGCCCGCGGCTTCCTCTCATTGGGGTGAGCCGGCGTCTCCCAGCCCCACCGGCTCTGGGCTGAGGCCGCGCCCCTAGGCCGCCGGCGGCGCCTTCGGAGTGTGGCGAGACGCCGGGCGGTCGGGCGGGGAGCGCGCAGGTGCAGGGTCAGGAGGCGCGGGCAGCACCGCGCCCCGGGCAGCTCCTCGCCGCCCACCTGACGCAGCGAGGGCGGGTGCCGGCCCGCCGCTCCCCGCGGAGCCCGACTTCGCTCCCGCTGTCGTGGGTCTCGCAGAAGCGTCGAGCTCCCACTGGGGCGCAGAAGCAGCACAGGTGTGCGTGGCGCCTTACCGGTGCGCTGTCCCGGAGTCCGTGTCCGTTTCGGGGTGAGGGTGGTGGTCTCACCAGCTCAGACCCGAAGGTGGAGGCCGTTTTTCCTCGTTTTCCTCTGGGGTCGTGGTTCCTTGGGCCCGGCGTGCCGTCCGGTATGTTTGGCCCCTGCCATCCCCATGCCCCACCCCGCGCACGCTCCAGGTTCCCTGGTCCAGGCGGCCGGACCCTCTTCTGACTCCGGCTCTGTGTCTTTGACCCGTGATCCCGCATGCGTGTCTGTTCCTTTCGAGATGGAAGAGGTTTTCAGTTCCCAGGAGAGCTGAAGCTTTTTCTTTGGGTCTAGGTGGGGAAGAGGAGCGGGCGTGACCCTGGCCTGTTCTGAAGGGCCCAGCCTTGCGCTGAATGGCAGCACCCCCACTGGGCCGTCTGGTGTGGACCCACCTGCTGGTAGCCCTCTTTGGCATGGGCTCCTGGGCTGCCATCAACGGGATCTGGGTGGAGCTGCCCGTCGTGGTGAAGGACCTTCCGGAGGGTAAGTGGGAGCGTGCAGGGGAGCGGGGCTTCAGGTGTGCCAGGTGAGGCCGGTTGCAGCTGCTCCTTGTCCCTTAGCTCCTGACTTGGCTTTCTCCCTTCCCGGCAGGTTGGAGTCTCCCGTCATACCTCTCTGTGCTTGTGGCGGTGGGGAACCTGGGTCTGTTGGTGGTGACCTTGTGGAGGCGGCTGGCCCCGGGCAAGAGCGAGCGGGCTCCCATCCAGGTGGTCCAGGCACTGAGCATAGCGGGCACAGCCCTGCTGGCCCCCCTGTGGCACCATGTGGCCCCAGTCACAGGGCAGCTCCACTCCGTGGCCTTCCTAACGCTGGCCTTGGTGCTGGCACTGGCATGCTGTGCCTCTAACGTCACTTTCCTGCCCTTCTTGAGCCACCTACCACCTCCCTTCTTGCGCTCCTTCTTCCTGGGTCAGGGCCTCAGTGCCCTGCTGCCCTGCGTGCTGGCCCTTGTGCAGGGCGTAGGCCACCTTGAATGTTTGCCATCTCCCACCAATGGCACCCTTCGGCTCCCCCACGACTTCCCAGAGCGTTTTCCCGCCAGCACCTTTTTCTGGGTGCTGACCGCTCTTCTGGTCACTTCGGCCGCCGCCTTCCAGGGTCTCCTGCTGTTACTGCCAACCCCGCCATCTGCACCCACAGGGGGTCCGGGGTCTGGCCTGCGGGCGAGAGCCCCAGCGGTGGAGGAGGAGGAAGAGGCCTCACCACTGCAGGAATCACTGAACCGAGCAGCACGCGCCCCTCCCAGCCCAGATGCTGAGACTCAGCGGCTGCTCTCTGTCCAAGGAGCCTGCCTGTTGGGCCTGCTGGCCATCACCAACGCGCTGACCAATGGTGTGTTGCCTGCGGTGCAGAGCTTTTCCTGCTTGCCCTATGGCCGTCTGGCCTACCACCTGGCTGTGGTGCTAGGCAGCACTGCCAACCCCCTCGCCTGCTTTCTGGCCATGGGCGTGCTCTGCAGGTACACAAGGGTCCCCGAGCTCCTAGGGGTAAAGTTTAGGGATGGGGGCTGGGTCCGGGTACAGCCAGCCCTGAGTTTCTGCTCACCCCTGTAGGTCTCTGGCAGGGCTGGGTGGTCTCTCTCTGCTGGGCATGCTCTTTGGGGCCTACCTGATGGCACTGGCAGTCCTGAGCCCTTGCCCACCCCTGGTGGGTACCTCTGCAGGAGTGGTCCTTGTGGTAAGTACACTGGGGACACCGAAGCAAAGAGGGCTGCAGTGGGGAGGGTTCCCCCAGAGCAGGGAGCTCCTCGTGCTCAGCCTGCTGCTGTGTCCGCCCTCCCAGGTGCTGTCATGGGTGCTGTGCTTGGGTGTGTTCTCCTACGTGAAGGTGGCTGCCAGCTCCCTGTTGCACAGTGGCGGCCGGCCAGCATTGCTGGCAGCTGGCGTGGCCATCCAGGTGGGCTCCCTGCTCGGGGCTGTTGCCATGTTCCCTCCCACCAGCATCTATCATGTGTTCCGAAGCGGGAAGGACTGTGTGGACCAGTGTAGCTCCTAAGCCTGGGCAGATGGAGGACGTGATGTCAGACTGAGATGCCACAGCCCGCTAGTGCCCACATCCCCAGGGGGCCCTCCTGACACGTGGGCTCACTCACGGACACCTGTACACTCCACAGCAGACGCTGGTCAGAGTGGGGACCACAGAACAGTCCCAGAGCCAGGGCCCAGCTAGGGCTGTGGGCTTGGCCCGGGATCTGGAACCTGTGTGGGATTTGCACAATAAATCACTGTTACTCCATGGGTCCGAGTAGTTAACTTCTGTAGCCCCTTTCTCTGTGCAGAGAGACCGCTGCTGAGCTGGAGTGGTGACATGAACTGATTGTTGAGCAGGGGTTCCCCCCGTCCCCGGCTGGCTGCTCTCATAGGTCCTGGGGTTGTGCCCTCTGAGCCCTGGACTCTTGTTCCCCATCCCCCCAATAGCTTTTGGGAACTCCCGCCGGAGGTACTGCGGTGTCGGCCCAACAGCAGCTCACCCAGGGTCCCAGCTGAGCGGTAAGGCCTCGTCCCATCTGGGCCCCTGCTCTGTGAGCGTCTCCGGGCTGTGTGGGCTGAGCCAGCTGGGCTGAGGGTCAGACAGGATAGGCTGTCTCTTTTTTGGTGACCTGGCAATTGTCATGTCTGTTTGTTTCTTTGTGGGAGGGTCCTGCCAGGGGGCTTATGCCTGGGCCTTCCTGCAGGATCCAGGCGTAGAAGGGGCTCAGTGAATAGGCTTAGAAGAGACTGGGGTATAAGGTTCCAGCCAGTTTAGGGATCTGTCTGGTCAGGAGCACTGCTGCCTTCCCTGAGCCACAGGTGTCTAGTTTCTGGCTCCTTCTGTGATCAAATGTGTGAATGGCCCATGTTCTTTATTTCTCCCTGGGCTTCTGACAAGTCCTGTCCCTGAGCAGCCCACAGTCATCCCAGCCCTGGCAGAGCAGTCTGGGCCTCGGCTTGGCTAGTGTCTTCAGGGACCAGAGTAGTAGCATCGACTTCAGTCTGTGCTGAATGGGGTGCTTCTGTACAGAGGGCTGGAGGGGACTGGAAGGAGTGCTGAAGCCGGGCAAGGGGGCAGGCAGGGACTCGGAGGATCTGGATGGAAGCTGCGGTGATCAGAGGCTCAGGCTTCTGCCCCCTTTTCTGGGCTTGCTGGGCAGGCCAGAAGCAGAGGCCCATGGGGCAGGCTCCGCAGGGGAGGCAGGACACCTGAGCTGTGATCTGGTGTGACTGGTTTGGCGCCGAAACCCTATTCTTACAGAGAAGGGGCCCCATGTCTGCAGTGGGGAGCCTGCAGCTGCAAGGATCTCACGCAAGTGACCGTAGGGGCTGGAAAAGTGGCTCCTTCCCCTCCTGCCTCAAGCCCTTCCTGCAATTGTTCCGGTCTCCGGAATGCCCTTTTCAAACTTGAGAAGCTGCCTGTCCTTGACTTGGCCTGCACATGGGCCTTTGAAGGTCTCTTTCTTCCCGCCCTGGCAGGACCCGCTGGGCAGGAGAGTAGGAGGAACCCCAGGCGCTGAGCACCGGAGCCTCTGCTCTGGGGCTGCATCGAGAATTAGGACGGTCCAGGCTCCCAGGGGCTCAGACACAGCCCAGTCCTGAGGACAGGGGCCTGCCTGCCAGGTCCCAGCCTCCCAAGGTGCTGATGGCCTGGAGAAGGAGCAGGGGCAGTGGGGGGTTCACATGGCTGTTTGCTTTTGGGAGTCAGGGCTGGTGGGTGGGTGTGAGCTGCAGAATCTGTCTTTGGTGGCGGCGAGCGGAGAGGTTCAGAGGGAGGAGGGTGAGGACAAGGGCTGGAGTGGAGTAGCCGCAGGCCTTGGCACACCCCCTTCCCCGTGCACACACTCTGCCCTCATCCCCCGGTAGCACCCTCCCCTGCCCACACGGGCTGGAGCTGGTGGAGTGCCTCCCAGTTCCTGCCCTTTTGTCAGGAAATGATCAAAGGAGCCTCTTCCCTGCCCACATGTGCATTTGTGCCTGGCCCAAGGGCCACAGAGGAGTAAGGCCCCGTGGGACATCACCGTCTCCTAGAGAGAAGGGGGGCAGGTGGCCCAGAACCTGGGGCCAGGACTGGAGGTGGACAATTTGAGGAAGCCACTGCCCTTAGAAGCCTCAGGGGCCTTCCTGTCAGTGCTTTGTAGGAAATAAGGGGAGGGAGATGCTGAAGAGCCAAGTTCTTGAGAGCCGTCCCGACACACCCTTCCTACTCGTGGCTGCCCAGCACTGAGCCTGGTCACCAGGGCACCCACACTGCCAACGGGACAGCAGGTGGCCCACGACTCAGGCTCCCAGCCCTGCCCAGAGGGTCTCGAAAACCCAGGGCTGGGGGGAGTTTGAAGGAGACCCCAGAGGGTAGGCAGTGGCCAAGGCAGGACCTTTGGCACCTGGCTGTCCACAGACAATACCCCCCTGGGGAAGGGCAAGACATGACCGACAGGCCCACCGAGGCCCTGTCCCACCCCGAGGCTCCTCGGAACCAGAGCGGGGCTAGCTAGGGTGTGGCCTGCCCCATGTCGCTTCCTTTCGCAGGTGTGTGGCCACCTCACCTGCGGCTGAGTCTGTGTGTGTCTGGACAAGGCTCGCCTGGCTTTGGTGGAATGACTAAAGGTCCTCTGGTTCTCAGCCTGTTGGAATCCCTAAGGTGTGACTTCCAATCTGGTTGAAGGTCTGATAACGCCTGGCTGATGAAATGGTTGTGTCCTGCCGTTAGCATCTGCTCGGGGCCCCCATGCATGGCTTGGGGACACAGGACAGTGGTCCTCTAAGGGGCCTCCTCCTCTCCCTGGAATTCAAAGGGACCTCCTGGCTCTGTGGCACCAGAAAATGGGAATGCGGGAGCCTCTGGGACCCTGGCTGGCGACCGAGTGCAGGTCATCAGCGGTTTGGAGTCAGCCACTCTGGCCATGTCCACCCCGTCTCAGGGATGCTAAGTGCCTGAGGCCTCAGGGCCACTTAGGGCCTCCCCACTGCAAGCACCGGCCTCCTTCTCTCCGTTGCACCTTCCAGGGGGCTTGGAGGCTGCCAGGGTTCTGATGGGGTGCTCATCGCAGGACCCCCGCCCCTGCCCTCCGGTTGGTGGGTGACCCAGACGGTCCAGTCATGGTGTCCGTCATCCCGTCCACGGCGACTGAACTAAGGGACCACTGGTCCTGTGGAGCAGCTCAAGATCTACCACGACATCTGTCTTACGGTGTCAGTCATCCCAAAAGCTATGACAAGCTACTCAAACTGCTCCTGGAGCACACCTGAGAATGAAGGCACCCCAGAGGCAAGCAGGGTGAGGGGTGGAGAGGGGCGGAACCCGGAAAACATCCTGGGATCCCCTGCATCCAGTTGTATCCATGCGCGATCTCTGGACGTCGAGTCATGAGGGCCCGCAGCTTCTTGCTTGTTGAAGCAGAGGTGAGTTGATTGCCGTGTGTCCCCCCGAGGGTGTGGTGACAATTGCCTCCCTGAGACATTCAGGACAGTTCAGACCTTTGGACGCCCGGCACTGGTCCGTCTTTTCTTGCCTGGGGGCGAGTCGGTCATTCTCGTGGCAACACTCCCTGTCACCCTCCCCATGACCTTTTCCTCTCCTGGGCCTCCACCTCCAGTTCCCTAGCACAGTGGTTCCCTGACCCGCTCCTGACCTGCGAGGGAGAGTTCAGAACTTTCTAGACAGGGTCCCAGGGCTGCTCTCAGGGGAAGTTCCTTTGTGTCTGCAGAACAGTATGAGCATTTTCATTTGGTGAAAGAAAAGCTGCAAACAACTTTGGAATTTCCATCCCTTCACAAAGGTGGCGGAAAAACTGAGCTAATTTAAAAGCAGATTGGAAAGGATTTCCTACCTAGTCCCCCCACACACACCCCCGAGCCTCCCCAAATGTTCCCTTTGTTGTTTTCTTTTTAAATTAGGCCCCACACCCAGCACAGGGCCTGCATTCACGACCCTGAGATCAAGACCTGAGCTGAGATCAAGAGCCACCCAGGCGCTCCTGAATGTTTGTAGAGCTGTTCTGTAGATGGCACCATTCTGAGAGCGGAGCGGGTGGTGTGGCTGCAGACGGCGGAGCGCCAACTCTGCGTGCAGGTCTCTGGGAGGGCAGGCCACCAGCATGGGAGAAGGCATGAGAGCACAGGGCAGAGGAGAGAAGGTGTTCATACCCGGGACCAAAGAATGAAGAGAGGAAAAGAAAGCAGGTGCCCAGCAAAGCCAGGGATCGGGAGCCTCCACTGAAGAGCAGAGACAGTGAGAAAGGCCCTTGTGATGAGGCCACCGGGGATTCTCCTCGGGCACGGGGAGCTGGGGTGAGCTGGCAGCGAGGCCAGTGTGGGGCTGGGAGCCTGGAGCCAGTCATCCTCTCCCACTGAGGTCTCAACGGGGAGCAGGGGGCGGGCTTCTCTAAGGGTTCACTGTGTTGAAAGTTGCTGTCCTGGCTGTCTGGGTCCCTCTCCAAAGCAGTGTCATGGCACCTGTCTAGGGCTCCTGACGTGAAGGACATGACACTTCTTTATTTTTCTGAATGAAGAGTCCCCTTCCCTCTCTCTTCCACCCACCAAGCCAGAGGTCTCCCAAGCTCAGCCATCCCCGGCCTCCCCTCTCCCTGGCTGTGCTGGGAGCACAGGGCTCTGAGTGGGGCGGGGGATGGTCTGGCTTCTAGCCCTTGGAGACACCATCAGAGCTGGTGCTGGAGCATACTGGGGGGACTTGAGCAGGGGGATCTTAGGGCCAGAACCTTGAGGAATTGGGACCTGAGGATGTGGCAGATGGGGACTGAGGTTAGGGTTAAGTTTCGGCTGAAATGAGAGGACACTGGACAGTAGCTCAAATCCACATAAAAAATAAAGAGCACTGGAAAAGGTGACTATGAAGGTATATACAAAATTCAGTATTCAAGCATTTTTGTCTTTTTAACTTTTTCTTGTCCTATCTGATTAAAAATATAACTGCATGAAGCAGTAATCATTAAACTATGTTGATGGATTTATAACATAAACATGTAATTTGTATGACAGTAATAGGAAAGAATATGGAATGGAGATATATAAGAGCAAATATAGAAGTAAAGTTCTTACA